TTTTTTTTTTTTTTTTTTTTTTTGGTTTAATAACATGAACATCCACGCATTTAACTCGGGTAATTAACAGATTATTATACAACCGTCACATTCATAAATGTCTAAGTAATAAGATTTTTCTTTTAAAAATAAATAATATGACTTATTAAAATTGTTGCAAACAAAAACAACTAACAAATGGTAACTAATGAAGAATTTGACAGGCAAAAACCTGGCCTTATTTTAGGATTTAGCCGACTTGGACTTGATTAACGGTTAAATAAAAGTGGGTCCCTGGTTTCCTGTAGAAGGCACCCCAGCGGACAGTGGACATTAATTAACAACTCAACATATAGTTGAGAATCAAAGGGAGGCATGGACAAGTGGATAGGGAATAGAACCTTGGCGCAGGCCCAATCGTGGCTCCCCGCTCCCACACATCCTATAAAGCAAGGAACATAACAGTTTCAGAGTTGAGAATCGGGAGGCGGGGTGGGGCGGATGGATGGAGAAGTTTGGAGTCTGCATAAATACCAAGTTTGAGTTTATTTTGGAGGGTTGTGTATTATTATGGGGAAGGTCGCATGCATGCGTGGGCCTTACCTTGGCTACTTTCCGCTGGTGCTGGACTGACCCAAATGAGCCCATTTAAGTAGATTCAATTTTCAGAGAATCACGCTTGTTTCTCATCACTTATCTTGTGCGCTTTTCATTTAATGGATGAAATGTTCACTATTTTAAAAATTTTAGTTATTAACAATTAACTCATATTAATTTTTTAGCCATTATCTTGTAAAAAAAAAAAAAAATCTTATGCGCTTTTAGCATATGGGCCAGCCTACGTCTGCCCGGAATCTTTGCCCCCACAGCTTTTCTATTAGTATTTATAAAAGTGATCAATTCATCTTTTTTATAAAGATGAAATTAGTCATGAAATTCCAATTTCACCCCTAACTTTTTCCTCTTTTGTTCACATTCAAGAATGACACAATTGGAATTTCCCGTCCAGATTGGTTGAATAATCACTCATTCCAAACTGAATAACTTCTTTGTGGAAATTGTATATCATTGGTTTGAAAAAACATTTAAAATAAGTGAAAATATTATTGTTACAATGATATTTTAAACTTATAATATGATGTGTCATTATATAATTAATTTTTTTATTTAAAAATTTATTTATAATATTATATGTATTTATTTATTTGATGTCACATTATATTTATTTAATATTATATTATAATTATAAATTTATAATCTTATTATATATTATAACTATAGCTTTGTCATAACACTAATATGAAAAGCTCATACTTAATTCCGTTCCTTAAGGATATGAGAAATGTAGATATGACTTGAGTGATCCTTGTTTAGACATGCGTTTCAACCACAACCCCTTGACCAAGCAAGACATTCATATCAAAGTGATGCCAACATGTTATTTGTCCACTTCCTAATTAATGATAGGGAGATAGATATACTTCATTTTATATATATATATATATATATATATATTTGTTCAAAACTTTAGGACTACGTCACCATACACCATTGGCGCTTTCTCT